CCCCCCCCCCCCCCCGGAAAAAAAAGGGTGCATGTATTAAGTAGAGAAGGCAGACCAGACAGGGTTATTTGGGTAAATGTGCTATCTTTAGTTAGACCAACTGAATAGTTGGAAAAATTGTTCTCTGCAAGCTTTTAGGCACAGACACCTTTCTCCAGGCATAGGGAGAATCTGCTGATTAAGTAGAAAAACTGATTTTATGCAAGGGGTTGGAAGCAACCTGGTTTGATTCCTGTTGTAGAGTGGAGCAGCTGCAGTGTTACTGCTCAGGCAACTGGCAGTTGGCATAATGGCTCATAGTTCTTTACAAATGTTAATGATGGCCTCTCCTTCTTTATGGTCTTGACTTCCACTAATCAAGCTAATCTTATGACACTTTTGCTATCTGCTAGCTACTTTTAGACTCTTTCACAGACTTTTTAACTCAGACTCTTTAACTGTTTAGCACATATTCTTAGTTTAGATCTTTTCAGAATCTTAGATCCACCCATGTAGGCTAGTCTTTAGCAGCAGCTAGGCATTCAGATTTAGCTAAGCAGGAAAGGAAGGGTGAGTCAGCTGAGGATTAGGCTCTGTCCCCACTATGCATCTATAGCTCTGGAAAAATCCTTTTTTCTTCATTCTGCCCTTTCAAAACAAGGTGTGTATCTTATTCTGGGGTGTCTCAAATGTGAGAAAATACAGTACATAATTTGTACTAATACAGCTGACTAAACTCTTCCTGTCCATGCACAAAGATCTTGATCGTGAGAATCTTTTAAAAAATTTTGTAATCAGCTACCTTCTATGTTCCTGATTATGAAAGTTTTTTGACATACTTATTTTTCCTTCTAGCAGAAGTCATGTTCCTTTTTTTCTTTTTTGAAGGATCTCATAGATCATACTAAATGGCTACTCACCGTTTTGACTCAAATGTAAAATGAGCCTTTTCCCCATTCAACATGGTAGGGGGAGCCCCTTGGATTCCCCTTCTTGGATTCAAGAACCAGGTGGGAGGGCAGGTGGCTGCTGCCATTCCAGTTCTGGCCACGGCCAGGGTTCAGGCTCAGGGTCAGAGCTGCAGTCTCTGCCCCCTGCCTGTCCCGTGCTACCTGTGCCTCTCCCATACCTGGTCCCTCCTGCTGCCTTTCCCTCTTCCCCACCCCAAACCCTAATGGCACTTACCCTCAGTCACAACTCCAGATCTGGTGCTGACTCTGGTCCTACTCCAGCTGGGGCAAAGAGTATATTGTGGTTCTGACCCCTGCCCAACTGGGGGGGAGGGGGAAGGCACCAGGGGAAGAAGGGGTTGGTGGGGACAGGCAACAGCAGGGGGGAAGGTGCAGGAGGGCAAGGGACACAGGTCAGACTGTTTGACACCCCACTCTCTGCCCCCTCTGCTGCTGCTTTTCTTCTTGCTGCTGCTTTCCCCACTGCAGTGGTGGGAGGAACAAATTTAAGATAACCCTCAATAATTAGGTGTTGTATATAAAAAATTTTAACAAATTTATAAATTTTATCTCAATAATGTATAAATCTAATTTATAAATGTCCATATATAAATCTAATAATTGGGGTCATCTTAAATTCAAAGTTGTCTTGGATTTGGGTAAATATGGTATTGGACAAATTCTTAAAAGAAAGGGGCATGGGAGTTAAGGATACAACATCTGAATTTGAACTTCCTACACTTTAAATTCTGGAAGCTGCAAGAAAAAACCCTTGTCATACCCTGTTCACTCTCTCTTTCAGTATCCACTCTCTACCACTGTGTGACCCAGGATCCTGGGCAAGATGGACTTATGGTCTGACCTAGTAAATTGTAGTTCTTACGTTCTTATGATAACTTTTTCAAATTTCATATCATTCTGTCTGTTTCTCTTCTCCTCTTGAGACGCTCCATAACTTTGTTATAATTTTCCACTAGGGATAATGAAAACTTTAATGTTCCAATCACCTTCCTTCTAACTTTAGAAGAGGAAAAAAATGTTATTCAGGGATTGAATAGGAACCTTATATTCCATGTTAAAAAATTGTTCAATATAGGCTGTATTCAGTGACTATTTCAGACTGACATAGGATTTTTTCCATTTTTTAGCTTTTGTGAAACAACCTTTTGCTGTTCTGGCATTCACTTCAAATTTCTGTTAATATTGCCTAAATGTATTGACTCAGAGTGTGTACTGCAAGGCTCATCCATTTTCCCAAGCTTTCATTGAGGTGGTGTGTGAAGGGCTGGGAGGTGGTGGGAGGAAGAAGTTAAATTTTATTGGGTAATGAGTTTGCTTTAGCCAGGGATCTAGTTCTGTTTTTGATTTTCAGCTTTTGTGTATATATTTTTGTGCAGGAAACTAGAGCTGTATGACATATATGTACTTTTATGAGAGTGTGAATTAATACATGAAAACAATTAACTTCCATTTGGGTTCTCCTGATATACAGTGACCTCAGCTCAGTTGCACAGAGTACAAGTCAGCGTAGACTTTGGCCCAGAATGTTTAAACTGCTTTTCCTCACTTCTTCTCTCTCCCCTCCCTTCCCCCCCCAATCTTTAATCTTCAGTGCATGCATAGTACGTTATTGCTATGTAGATATGGGAAGACTCTTAAAAATAAATCCTGTTTATAATACAGAAGTTTCAGGGTATAGATTTTTGAGGTTGCTTTTGATTTGATTTTTGTAATTACTGTCTAGTGTGCAGTATATTCACCCATCCACTTTACTTTTAGGTATCATTTTTCATCCTAAAGCACTTTTCAAGCTATAGTATATGCCTACAGTCCCATTGAAATACAGCCAGTCAATGCATTGTATGGTTCTTAACATACAATGCTCTGTATAAACATAAGCAAATTAACTCAAGCAGGGAGAAATTCTGGTAAAGGCACTAGCTCAGATCCCTCTTTTAGTGCTATAGCAAGGGCATAGACATTGGGAAGGCAGGGGACACAACTGCCACCATTTACTCAGGGGCTGTTGATCACCCCCATGGTAAACCAGTGTTCCCACTATTAGGCATATGTTCTTCTGCACTAGGGCACTGCTACCCCCATCTGGCCCACCTTTACATAGATAGAGGGACTGCCTCAGGCTTTTCTTCCACATCTATAAAAATCTACTATTGGGCATGTCATATAATATCTAGGGAGAGGTGATACGGAGTTTAGGATCTCATCTTAGAAAGACATGCAGTAAACTGTATGTAATTTGATTCACATAGCATGGAATTATGAAGTGCTAGGTCAGCCCCATTGAGCTTTGAAACTGGGATTGCAGGGAGCCTAGGCATTTCAAAACTAGAGACTTAGCCTGTAAACTTGATTTCTTCAACTGTATATAGAGTTCAGAAGGCTGAATAGACAGCCATGCTTCCCATCAAATTTTAGCTGTATCCTGGCTCCAGTTCTTCTCTCAATAGATGCAAGATAATATTTTAGTGCTTTCAGCCTAGGGAATAGCTCTACATTTTTACACTACACTGGCAACCTGGATGGGAAACCTTTCATCGTATCTTTTTATTCAGTTTATTTTAACCAGAGGAACTATGTTTCTCCTATATTTTTGCTTGTTGCCAATCCTGAATACCCCACAGAATGAAAACAATAATTAACTGTGATAAAATGGACATCATTCCTACTCACGTGGAAAGTCTGTATGCACCATGTGATGTCTAGTTTTCATTTTCCTTGAGAGAAGCTGAATGTGTCAGTGCAGAAAAGGCCAAGCCATCCATGTCTGCAGAGCGCTGGATGGAACAGATGGAGAGAGGTGTACACAGAAAAGCTTTGCTGCTTGGGGGTGTTCCAGCCCTATCCTCAGGATGACCTCTGTACCCTGCCACTCCTCTCCATTGTCACAGAGTTGTGGGAAGAGTGGGGGGAGGGAGACTGCATCACAGATTTTTGCCTGTGTACACCCTTTAGGAACGTAAGCAAAAGATAAGAGCAGAGGAATGAAATCTCCCTGCTGGTCCAGGTTACATTTAAACGGCACTCAATTACAGGTATTCTCCATGGAACTTCAAAGTGTTTTATAGTGCTGTGAGGAAGTTTTGCAGGAAGGCCTTGGGATGTTACTTGTAGACAAAAGGAAAAGACAACAAATAAATTACTGGAAACATCAGGGTTTACATTGGGAGGGTTCTGTTGGCTTCCTGTAAGTGAAGCATGAATCATCAGATTTCGTTTAGGATGCTCACAGCTTTGTATGTCCAATTTGAAGGCTTTAAACTGGGATGCCCATTTGCTACAAATAATCATTTGTCCTTTTAATTCAGTAATTTAATTGCTACTTGCATACTTTTGCCACTTTCTCCCACCCCAAGAAGGTTCCTTTGGAGACTTGACTTTCCTCTGCCACCTGCCTGTGCCTTTACTCTTCACTTACAGTAGCTTCACAGACTCCATGTCATGAAACTATCCCTTTAGCTAAGGAGAGCTAGATTCTGCTCCCTCAGGAACCATCAGTACTAGGAGACTAGCTTGCTACAGAACAGTGTTGAATTGCCCCTTTCAGCCCTACTGGCAGACATACCTTTCCCTGTAGTGCTGTCAGTGCCAAAAAGAAGGAACCAGCCTGGTATTTGTGCTGAGATTAGCATAACATTTCTTTGAATTGCCACAGACCTAACCTGCTTATGCCTGGAACAGAATACTTTATGAACATGAAAAATTGCACGTTTTACAAAGTCTAATAAAGACTGAACTTATTCTCTGGAGGGGCAAGAAAAAAAAGAGGAAATACAAAACTGATAACCAAAAGTTTTTTAAACAAACATGAGTCAATCTCCCCCTCCCAAATTATGTGATTTCCTTTATAAATTATTTTTTCTTCATCTGTGTTTTGATTTTTTTGGATCAACACATATGTGTTCAGAGAGGTGATTTTGGCCCCAGCTGCTGGACCTTTCACTTTCAGATCTGCACACAGCTCTTTTACCTGTGTCCAACATCCATATCAGCTCTGCCACCTCCAGCCTCATCTTTGTTCCTTCTACAGTTCTCAATACTCAGTTCCCTCCCTACCCTGTTCTTTCCTTCTAGCCTGATGGAGCAGCTGCAGTAGAGTCTTCACCTGTATCCAGGTAGGGTGGGAGCAGCTTCAAGAGTGCATTATCTGTCGCTTTTTCCCCTTCTCAGGCTGAGTGCTGGCAGGAGGGGGTGCAGAAAGGCTATTCCATTGCTCCCAAAATGGAAAGAGGAAGCAGTGCCATTTGGAGCTGCTGAGCATTTTCTGACCCCCCTGCCACTTCTTGTAAGAATCATGTCAGGTTGCCAAGAGGAGGGCGAAAAGAGCTTTGCCTGCTTCTTTTAGCATTTCCAATTGTTTGTTCTACCTCAAGAGGGAGGCAAGTTGGGCAGTCAGAAGGGTTTCCCTCCCACTCTCTCCCCTGGCAGCACAAAAATTTGCTAGAGGATTATTGGAGCTTCTCATGTCATTGAACAGCTGGCTCCAGCCCCAGCCAGGATTCCATTGCTCACTTGCAGAGAAAACCCCATAAAAGCTAGCAACACTGGTATTGTATCTTTGTTTATTTTTTATGTTTTAGGACTATTATGTTAATATGGACATGATGAATCCTAATGAACAATAATGGGGGGGGGGGAAATATAGGGTAAAAGGAAGCTTTCAGAACTGTACTGTGCCAATTTCTGTTAATAGTCCGTGCCCAGAATCTTAAAAGCATTTTACCAGTGGCAAACAAAAGAGAGACATATTATACTTTTTAAAACTGCACACTGTTTTGAGTAGGGACAATGTTTTTATCTAGAACAGTGGTGCAACCTTTTTGCTCTGCAGGCTGCAAGGGTGATGCCTGGTCGCTCTGTGGACTAGATCCAACTGGAGGCCCTGAACTTGTGTGCCACAGGGCAGGCGTGGTGGGCCCCAGTCCAGCTATGCAGAGGGAAAGGGATGTGGCCCAGGTCTGATCTGGCTACATGGGGAAAGAGCGGGGCATGGGAAAGGACCATGAGCCAGTGTCAATCTGGCTGCACGGGGCTTTGGAATTTGGCAGGAGGGTAGAGGTGGTGATGTTAATTGCCACTGCTCCTTGCCACCAAATTGCTGACCTGTGGGGAACCCTGTGGGCCAGGTGCCATGGCTCCACTGGCCAGATTTAGCCTGTAGGCTGGGGGTTGAGTTGACCATTTCTAGTCTAGGAAGTCCTTGCATCATTTAGGTGAGTGCTACAGTCATCGATGTTTCAGTTATTCAAATACTGTAGTCACAAAAGACATAGAACTGTCTGTCTTTTATTCTCTTGCCATTCAAAACAATCATGACCGGATTTTAATCAAACTTCCTTGTAAAAAAGATCATATCAAAGAATCTTTAGGAAGCTAAGAGCCTTGCAAAGCAAGATTTTATATTGGAAACTGATTTGTATTTGTGGTAGTAATTCCCTTGTGCCAGCTGTAAGACTTTAGTAAAGCAGATATTTAAATCCCATTGAAGTCATTGGGAATTTCCCCATCTAATTAATTTTAAGGGTGTGTGTATGGTGCTTTGCTGCTTCAGGAGCCTGATCAGTATACACAGACTACTGAGGCCATCAAAATGATTCCTGTTGGCTTAAAACTGGGCATTGGATCAAGTCTGCAGTGCATCAGAGCAGCTTTGTCTCAAACAAAACCCATTTTTACACTGATGTATACAATACTGTAAGCCCGTAGAACAATGTAGCATCTATGTTCTTTTTAAAATGTGTTTACTACATTGAAGCCAATCATGCTTCCTTTATTTATGTGAAAAAATCTATTGACTACTGTTGGTCTACTTGCATGCAATTAAGATTTGTACCTGAGGCTTTAGAATACTTCAGTAATAATAACCAATCTAAGAATAATTTGAATGGGTTTTTACAATGTTACAGGTTTACAGTATGTGAAGTAAAGATTTAGAAGTTGCTATACAAATAGTGCAACCTTAGGCTAATTATTTGATACCGAATGATAGCTAAGAGTCCTGGTGCCATTTTAATACATGGTAGCTATAACCTTTTTAGTTTATTGTATGAATTTTTGGAAAAAGAATCATGGGGTACCCTAACTGATTTGAATGTTCCAAGTTGTAATTGATTCAGGCAAAGTTTTTAACATTTGAGAGACGTTCTAATTTTAATAAAATAATAGCATTTTTTCAGTGTTAGTATGATACATTTCTGTTGGATTTTTTTGCCGTGTTTATTCGTAACTCAGTTAATCAAAATAAGAATATTTTTGTCCTTCATAAGTGGTGTTCTTAATTTGATTATAATTAATTATATTCACTGAATGATCCTGATAATATTTTTTAAAGCGTCTCATTATATCATTTACTTTCATTTTTATTCCTTATTCACTGTTCTCCACACTACATTTTTCCAAGCACTTAACTTAAAGGAACAATGACTTGTTTTGTTCAAAGCATTTAATTATATTTTAAAATATTTTAAATTGCTTCTTAAAGTTAGGGTTGAAATGTTGTGCTTGTTGGCAACATGGTTCATGAGCTGCTCCCAGCAGGCTTTAGTCTATCTCTAGCAAGCTTGTCCCATACAGTTTTGTTTTTCTATTTCAATCCCTGGAGATCACATAGATGGTCAGGCTTTGAACAAAGAATGTCCATTATCCAAACTCATCAGTCAGCTGTAGAAGTAAATTCTGTGTTGACTTATCCAGTACGTATAAGATGAATAAAGACAAAGTGGTAGAGACTTTCTCCAATAGGTAAGAGATATAGCAAAAGCCACAGAAGTCAGTGAGACTCATGCTTCTAAATTCCTTGCCCACTTCAAAAATCTTTCCTTCGTTTTAAGTGATATTCTTAAACATACAGATCTATCTAGTATCTAGAGAAAAAAATCTTTTGACTTGTGCTCTAAATCCTTATCCTCTTTTGAAAATCTCTGCCTGTGTCTTTTCTATCATTCTGAACTATCCAACAGTTTAAACCTGGACCTATAATGTGTTATTTACCTTTATTTATCTGGACCTGTAATTTGAATTATAATTATTGTTATTTTCTAATTTTTGGGATGTAGAAGGTTTAATTGAGAATGGAATCACCACAGAAAGGAGAATGGCTTATGGCAAATAATATTGCTGTACAAAGAACATCATATGAAAACAAATATTAATAAGGATATGTAAGGGCAACTGAGTTCTAAATTAGCTTGTTTTCTCTCTTGTAGAAACCTCACCTTGAAATGTGAAAAATTATCTGCAGAGGAGTTGAATAGCTAAATACTGGAACAACAGCTGATTTTTGGTTTGTTTCTTCCAACATGACCAATCCCCAGTAAGTACCATTTCAGATGCTTTTATAAATTTAATGAGTCAAATCCTAATGTGAAAAACTTCCATGGTGCTAAAGTGTGATGCCAAGGAGGTTGTGTCAGTATTGCTGGGAAGATAATTTAACCCTTTGAGTAAGGGTTGAAAAAATGGGTCAGTTGTCTGCAGACCCCGATTAGCAGGGATCCTGGTTTTCCTGATAAAAAAACAATCACAAATTCCCTGAAAAATCGCAGATTCTCTAATAAAACCCCCAAAATCTGTGATTAAAATTAAAGGCCCCTCCAGCCCTGCTGGTGCCCCTCAGTGTCCGTCTCCCCCACAGGCCTCCTCATGCTCCTCACTCCCAACCCACAGCCCTACTGGTGCCCCACTACCCCACCCCCCAGACGAGGCATCCACAGCCATGTCCCACTCTCTGCCCACGCACTGCCCAGCTGGGCAGCAACCCCAGCCCCAGCCTTGCCCAACTCCCTCCTTATGGGGTCCTCAATCCCCCACTTCCACTTACCTGCGGGAGCTGCTCTCCAGGCTGCCTGGCAGCCATATTATGTACATGCACATGACACCTCCTGTCTGACCACCCTCTAGTTTCAGCCTGCAAGTGGCTAGGTGCCGTGGGAAGAGTACCATCAGGAAGGGGGTGCCATGTGCACGTGCACACACACGCATGCACGTGGCAGCCAGGCAGCATGAGAGCAGCTCCCACAGCTACACGCAGGTAAGTCTTGGTGTGGGGGGATTGAGGCCCCCATAGTGAGGGTGGGAGGGAGTTGGGCAGGGCTGAGGTTACTTTGGTTACTGAGCATTTAATTTAGTACTTGTATAATCAAATACTAAATAAATATGCAATAAGCAGAGTTACTGTGCAGTAGCATCAGCAAATGCCTTTTTAGTGATGCTACTGCACAGTAGCTTAATAATACTGGGCACTTGGGGTGTGCAAAATGGGCCGTATTCAATTTGGATTCGGCCTGATTCGGGGGACAGTGATTCGATTAGTTGATTCAGATCACTGTCCTGATTCGATTCAGCCAAATCCGAATCTGAAGATTTGATGCTGATTTGGAAAATCAGCAATTTGGCCATAGACAGTTTTTTCTACAAACCTCGTGGCTCTTGAGTGCTGTGATGGTAGGGCAGATGCAGCGTCCCACAGGAGCGCAGGGGGGCATCCCACAGGCTCAGCGGTGAACCTGGAAGTGGACCAGTGAGCACACAGGGGGATCCAGCCCCATGCCCCCCCGGCTTGGCAGTCGGCCTTAGGGGAACCCCGGGTGCCTCCCAGACCCAGGAGGCACCAGTCACCGAGTCGGGGGGAGGGGTGGGTCTGCCTGGTACCTTGAGGTATGTAGAAAAAACATAGAAAGCTGTGTCTATGTCCAAATTGTCAAATCTCTCCAAATCGATTCAGAGGGTTCCGACTTGATTTGGAGAAATTAAAGGGCCTCCTTATTTGATTTGTATTCGGAGATTTGGCCGCTGAATCGGGCTGAATCTCTGCTGAATTTTATCAGCAACGGAAGCTTCGCACAGCCCTACTGGGCAGTAGTGTATTAACAATGTTTGTACTGCAATGAGCTGCTGCGCAGTATTATTAGGCTACTGCGTAGTCAGTGTCTTGTGTAGACTTGGCCAGAGTAAGTCAAATGGAAAGAAGACATGTTTGCTGAAAATGGAAAGAATCCATTCCTGCTAGTACTTGACTTGCAATCCCTCTTCTAAGAAAGCTACTTCTCTAACAAATAGTATAGTATATCATCCAGTTACTTAGTGGAAAGATATTGCCAAGTAACTGGTAATATCTTAGAGGTGCAGAGTTATAAAATAAGTAATTGGCAATATCTTGCTTTCCTCTAAGTAAGTGTTATCTTATAATAGAAATAAAATATAGGTGTGGAGTTCCCATTGATTTTACTTGGGGTAAAGGAAAATATATACCCAGTTTTCTAAGTGACCCATATATGTTTAGGTGGGAAGAAATTGACCAGGCTTCTTTTGAGAGAGAGAGAGAAAGAGATAATATTTTTTCCCTTGTTCTTCCTTTATAGTTTTCCCTGAAGGTGAAATAACATGCCATTCTTTTTTTCTAATTGGGTATGGCTACAGATGTCTGTCTTTTTAAAACAATTTTTAGACTTGACAAGACCTAGTAAAGGGAAGATATAATTTATATATTAATTAACAATGATTTCTCTACTAGTCAGTAGAAAACATAACCATTGATCACTGACCTAAGCTCAGAAAGGTGAGTTTTTAATTGATGTAGATACATGCATTCTTTGCATTGATTGCTGTACTGTTCTGAAGGTGTACCTTGCTATACAGTTCATAATTTGTTTTTCAGTATGTTTGCATTAATGTATCAGTTCATGTTTTATGTTCATGAACAACTTCAGCCCCTCTGAGTTACATTTTTTGTCCTTTTGTGATTGTGAAGTTTCTGTTAACTTCATTGACAAGACGTGGTAGATTTTGGCCTCACATAACACTTTTCCATAGGAATTGTCAAAAACAGTGTCTGTAAACTAGCAGTGAAGCTTTGTTGTACGTACATTTTTAGTGTTGCTACTTGTGGAAGCTTCCTGTTCCTCAGCGCTTACGTTTTCGCATTTGCTTATTTATTTTTAGGCCTGCAATAGAAGGTGGAATTTCAGAAGTTGAGATCATCTCGCAACAAGTAGAGGAGGAGACCAAAAGTATAGCTCCTGTGCAACTTGTTAACTTTGCTTATCGAGATTTACCACTAGCTGCACTTGATCTATCTGTGGCAGGGTCCCAGCTCTTGTCGAATTTGGATGAGGAGTACCAAAGAGAAGGGTAAGTGCAAAGTATGTAAATGTTACTTACAGATATATCTGAAAGGTTTTTCATGGCTTACATAACAGAAAATCATGTTTCATAGTTTCATAGATTTAGGGTCGGAAGGGACCTAGTAGATCTTCTAGCCCGACCCCCCGCCAGGGCGGGAGAACAACAAAACCCCAAAACAAGAAACGGGACTCAAATGAGTCCAGCCAGGTAGGCATCCAGCCTCTTCTTAAAGACCCCCAGGGTAGGGGCCAGCACCACTTCCCTTGGAAGTTGGTTCCAGCTCCTAGCCGCCCTAACTGTGAAGTAGTTTTTGTGGATGTCCAATCTATACCTCCTCTCCATCAACTTGTGCCCATTACTCCTTGTTATGCCAGCGGGCGCTAGGGGAAACAGCGTCTCCCCCAAACCCTTCTGGTCCCCCCTAGTGAGTCTATAGACGGTCACCAGGTCCCCCCTCAGCCTTCTCTTGTGGAGGCTGAATAGGTTCAGGTCCCGCAGTCTCTCACTGTAGGGTCTGCCCTGTTGTCCCCGGATCATGCGGGTGGCCCTCCTCTGGACCCTCTCCATATTGTCCACATCCCTCTTGAAATGGGGCGCACAGAACTGGACACAATACTCCAGCTGTGGCCTGACCAGCGTCGCGTAGAGGGGGAGGATCACCTCCTTGGCTCTACTCGAGATGCACCTGTGGATGCACGACAAGGTCCGGTTAGCCCTGCCAACCATGACCTCGCATTGTCGGCCCATGTTCATCTTGGAGTCAATAATGACTCCAAGATCTCTTTCTGCCTCTGTGCTCTCAAGTAGGGAGTTCCCCATTGTGTAAGTGTGCTGCTGGTTCCTACTGCCCAAGTGCAGCACCCTGCACTTGTCCGTATTGAAACGCATCCTGTTCCTGTTAGCCCACCCCTGTAACCTATCCAGATCCCTCTGCAATCTCTCACTCCCTGCTAGCGTGCTCACTTCCCCCAAAATTTTGGTGTCATCAGCGAATTTAAACAGGTTACTTTCCACCCCATCATCCAGATCGCTGTGCTAGAGAAGGGCAGCTAAAGCCTTATTGAAGTCCTTTATAGAAGCAGTAATAGAATACACTCCGAGAGCCACTCTTATTAAAGCATCCGAAGCATCATGTGTATTAGTATCCCTTCACTGGTGGTGGGGGTGCTTTAACTAAAGCTAGTCAAGCAAGCTTTAGTTAAAGCACCCCTGACGCCATTTCTCAGTGCAGGGATGCTGATACACATGGTGCTGGAGTCTGCTGCAGCGTGGTAATTACTAGGGCTGTGGGAAGCTTCAGTCCCTGATTCGATTCGGTAGAGATTCAGCCCGATTCAGTGACCGAATCTCCAAATCCGAATCAAATCAGAGGACCCTTTAATTTTTCCGAATCGAATCAAAACCCTCCGAATTGATTCGGAGAGATTCAGACATAGAGACAGCTTTAAATGTTTTTTCTACATACCTCTAGGTAGCAGGGGCTCGTGAATGCTGTGATGCTGGGGCGCATGGAGCATCCCACAGAAGCATGGGGAGCTCCCCAGCATGCTCAGCAGCAGACCTGGAAATGGACCAGAAGCACTTCCGGTCCACTTCCAGGTCCGCCAGGGAGTGCCCAGGGGCCCCCCTGCAGCCCCTCGGCTTGGTGACTGGTGCCTCCTGGGTCTGCAGGGGGCCCCCCAGTGCACTCTCTGGCAGACCCAGAAGTGGACCGGAAGTACTTCTGGTCCACTTCTGGGTTTACCGCCAAGCACGTGGAGGGCCCTCCCACACTCCATCTGCCCCAGCATCTCAGCATTCATGAGCCACACTGGTACCTCAAGGTATGTAGAAAAAACATTTAAAGCTGTGTCTGTGGCCAAATCGCGGATTCTGCAAATCAGCATCAAATCTTCAGATTCAGCTGAATTGAATCAGGGACAATGTCCCTGATTTGGGCCAAATCCAAGTCGAAGAGAGCCCGCTTCTCACACCCCTAGTCATTACCACACTCTGACATGCTATAATTGCAGTGCATTGGAGCAGCCTTGCTGCACGTATATAGTTGCCCAAAGTGATTTTGGGCTGCCATTTAAATACAGCACATGCTAGAAACTTGCTGTCGGAGAGAGAACCCTGAATTAAATTTCTGACTTCTGACCCAGGCCCCTAAAATAGGCAAATACACCACTC